CAAACTGAAGATGGAGAAAGACTTTGTGTAGATTTTATGTTGGAAATAAATTGGGACTTCAGACTTTCATGTCATTACAAAAAAAAGGCTTATTTGCCATTAAAAAGGTTGGGGTGCCCCCCATGTACCATATAAAAGTTCTGGGGTTTGTTTTTTTGAGCAGGTCTCTGGCATGGTTTGGGCTCTCTTGCATCTTATTTAACCATAGCTAAAGATCCGATAATTAAAAGCTGCATCTAATTCAGATACAAAATAGAAATAGTTGAACGACTACAGCTTTTCTTCTGTGCATTTAAAGAGGTCCTTTCTTCAGGAAATGGGTTATATCTAGCAAGTCAGCTCCTCTTCTGGTCTGGTGGATGGTTTGGTGCCTGCCCGTAAGCTGCTGGGGGTTGTACTGCAGGTAGGCAAACCGTGTATTAGTATCTTGTCTGGTTTTTCAGATAATTGTTTCTGAGCCATTCAGAAATAACTGGCGTGATAATGTCTTGGGCTGGGTTTCTAGGAATTTCTGCATGGAGGTCTGGAGGAGGAGTCTTCTCTCCCCACCTGCTTCTCCAGTGTGTGTTCCTGATGTGGTGTGTTCTCCTCAGGTGGTTTCATAGCTGTTGTCTTCTAATGAAAGCTGGGCTTTGGGAATTGGAATCGCTCAGTTTAAGCTATTGGGCTCAGGCAAGCTGGCTGAGTGGCCTCCCCTTGATGGACCTGAAGTCTCCTCACCTCTAAAATATGGCTAGTGGTTCTCCCTTATGTCTGTCCTCTAAGGCATTGTGAAAGCTGATTACTGCGCTGTGCTTGGGTACTGCTTGACGAAATGCTACTTATGGAGAAGATAGTACCCTCTTGATGAGGATATGAGTTTCTTGAGAACTATTAGGGGACTCGAGTTAACTCTAGGGCAAGAGAGGGTAGTATTTCAGTATCATCAGTGAGTCTTGTTAAAGTGGTTTGTGGGCAACCAGCTCTCGGTGGCCCTGCTTGAGCAGGGGTTGAACCAGATGACCTCCAGAGGTCCCTTCCCACCTCAACCAGTCTGTGATTCTGTGAACTTGGCACAAGGTTTAATAGTGGATAAACCAGTGAAGATATGTGAAAGAAATGCAAGGTGAAGGTGGCAGGCTAGACGCGATTTGTCAGCACTGCTAGAAAGTGAGTAGTCTGCTATGATTTAAATACTTTTTAAAACTCTTAAAGCACCTAAGCAGTTGAGACACTGGATGTTGTCACAGCACAGTGAGCTGATCCTTTAAGCTTGAATATAAGCTCCAAATTCTTAAAATTGTTCCTTCATGAATTGTTTCTGAGCCATTCAGAAATAACTGGCGTGATAATGTCTTGGGCTGGGTTTCTAGGAATTTCTGCATGGAGGTCTGGAGGAGGAGTCTTCTCTCCCCACCTGCTTCTCCAGTGTGTGTTCCTGATGTGGTGTGTTCTCCTCAGGTGGTTTCATAGCTGTTGTCTTCTAATGAAAGCTGGGCTTTGGGAATTGGAATCGCTCAGTTTAAGCTATTGGGCTCAGGCAAGCTGGCTGAGTGGCCTCCCCTTGATGGACCTGAAGTCTCCTCACCTCTAAAATATGGCTAGTGGTTCTCCCTTATGTCTGTCCTCTAAGGCATTGTGAAAGCTGATTACTGCGCTGTGCTTGGGTACTGCTTGACGAAATGCTACTTATGGAGAAGATAGTACCCTCTTGATGAGGATATGAGTTTCTTGAGAACTATTAGGGGACTCGAGTTAACTCTAGGGCAAGAGAGGGTAGTATTTCAGTATCATCAGTGAGTCTTGTTAAAGTGGTTTGTGGGCAACCAGCTCTCGGTGGCCCTGCTTGAGCAGGGGTTGAACCAGATGACCTCCAGAGGTCCCTTCCCACCTCAACCAGTCTGTGATTCTGTGAACTTGGCACAAGGTTTAATAGTGGATAAACCAGTGAAGATATGTGAAAGAAATGCAAGGTGAAGGTGGCAGGCTAGACGCGATTTGTCAGCACTGCTAGAAAGTGAGTAGTCTGCTATGATTTAAATACTTTTTAAAACTCTTAAAGCACCTAAGCAGTTGAGACACTGGATGTTGTCACAGCACAGTGAGCTGATCCTTTAAGCTTGAATATAAGCTCCAAATTCTTAAAATTGTTCCTTCATCCAAGCATGTTAAAACGGTCACAGAAGGAAAAGGAAAGAAGGAAACGAGTGACTGTATGGAGTTAAATGTCTTTTTTGCAAAATGAAATCTCTTCATACTTTCAGAAGCATTTTATGGTAAAGCAGAACTAGTTGACCTTTTTTATTTGTAAAGCAGAATCCTACTGTTGTACCAAAAGTAAAAAAAACTTGTATCACAATAACACTGAACAGTTTTGATTTGGGACCTAGATCAGCCATGCTGTGTGAAATGCAAACACAGAATAGGTCTATGCCCCACAAAGTTTACATTCTATTAACTTAAATCCAAATTAGATAAGTTCAGAAGTATGCCAACACTCCTAAATGTTTATGCTGTGCAGGAACTCCCCTGGTATGTACCTTATACCCGTGCTGTCGTGGACTTCCATTACACTCTGTGTTGATCCTTGTTTTGGACAGCAGCTTAAGTCTTTAGTCTGGCTCTGGTCACACAAGCATTCCTGTGTG